CTTTAGAAAAAGTTTTGGAATTATATACTGTAAATCAGTAAATGATTAAATGTATGATAAAAAAATAATTGTGAACCACTTTTTCATCCATGTTGATGATTCGGCAAACGATAGGTGAAGGCGGTTAGAAGTTTAGGTTTATTATCCAATTACTAATTGCTACCAACCTTTTAAGGAAACATCATCTTATCTTAGAATATTAAAAGTAAAAACTTAAACTATAACTTGTAAGTAGATAAAAGTATTTGAGACGAGGTCTTAAATTTGAGTGGAAGCTGAGTTTGTTGCACATAAAAGTGTTGGTAGAGTTCTTGTTTCCAATGTAGATGTTATCAACTCAGTAAGGCCAATTTTCTACGGCCAAATTTCTACAAAAGAGAAAGCAAAGGAGTATGTAAAATCGGTGCACATTGGAATCGTCTCTCTTTTGTCTTTACAAGCTGCATTTGAATTTGAGATTCATCAATGCACAATCAAAAGAAATATAATCTAAATTCAACTTGCTTCAATTTATTACCTAGTTTGAGCTACAATGCAGTTGTGGATCATTTGCATTCCGTGATTGTTAAGGATAATTAATAATCCCAAAGAATAATCACATGTTTCCATTCTTTGACTGGAGCCTAGCATTGCTTTAGGGCTTGAGACAGTGTGTCCTTGTGCTAAGGATTAATGAATGGCTGGGCTATTCTAAATTTTACCACTCAGGCAATCTATGACGTCACTATGCATGCAAAAGTTGATCACTCGCAGCCACATCACATTCACAGCGAGTTGGAATCAAACGCAATTGTAAAATGAGTTATCACATCAGTTGATTACCTTAATCTAACAAACACATCCCACCAACGGGTGTGCCCTAACCCGAGGCCACTAATCCAGCTCCATCCAATTAAACAACTCTACTCCAGCTACTTGAAAATATAAGATTTGTGCTAAGCCATAAAATACCAGATTACATAAATGCCAAATCAATCAAACATATTGAGTTTTGCAGTTTAAAAAAAAAAAAAGAAAAAGGTGCGAACCTAACTCAAATCCACCTTTGGATCACTCCCAATTGGAGTCCACATGAGCGGGAGCTCCAGTCTGGCGCCTGTTGTAATTCCCGCCTCGTCTGGGGTGACCAGAGCCTCTCTCCCTCTGCTTTTGGTAGTTACTATCAGCTCCTCCCTCGACCGGCTCATCAACTTTTTCCAATCTGTTGTTATTACCCTTCAACTGACCAACTGCCTGGTATTCATAGTGTGTGTTGTTGTTGTTCCTCTGTCTATTATCCCAAAAAGGATGTGTCCTGTTATCATGCCCCGAATTCCAATCCCCACGTGCATTATTGTTATCGTGGCCTCTAACCGAGCGATTGTTGTTATGTTTACCATTCCTCCTTGATCCAAACCCAACATTAGACTCGACATGAACCTCTTCATTACCCGCAGGAGGTTGACCAGGCTGGGTTTGACTAGAACTTCCCCCTTGCCCCTTGGGCTGATAATGCTGCTGCTCCTTCTTGGAAGACCTGTTGATTTCTGACTGATTATTAATTGCTGCATTCGAGCTCGGCTTGGGTTGCCAATGAGATGATGCCCGATTCTCTTTTGAACCAGTAGTACTTCTATCCGTCTGCTCTTCACCACCAAAAGTTTTTTCGGGTTGGGTGTTATATCCGGTGGCCCTGGACACATTTCTCTTTCCTCTGCCTGTACCACAAGTTCTAATTTCAGCATTCACTGTATCTGTTTCACCTTTGACTGATTGACCAATCTCCTTTGCTTCTTGAATTTCCTTAACTGGATTGAATGTTGAAGACGGCCCAATATGCCCACCCTTCATATGAGATGAATCAGTTGGACCCAATTGTTTCCAAGTTCCATGATCTTTCTTGTGCTTGTTGCGGGCGACATTCACCTCGTTGACCTCTCCACTCCACCCATCCTTTGATTGAGACGAATCAGTAAAAGACGACAAATTTTGGACATTTCCTTGCTGGGATAACTCCTTGGCCACAGGCTTTGGAACATACCTCTCCATTTCAGCCCTCTTTCCCTTCAAACTATTCTGCACTGAATGACTATTACCTTTTGTGAGGTTAGCTAATTCATGCACAGAATTCGGACTTGCTTCAATTGAACCCTTGTTTGCTTTGTTCTGCGTGCCAACAGGGGCCCACACGGCATCACCTCCATGAGACTTGTTATTAGCCTGTTGTTGACTTCTTGGCTGCCTACGAGAGGAGTGAGGTCTCCACTGACTGGATACCCTGCTATGAGATTCTTCATTCAGCAAAGAGGAGCTAAATCCTACCCGAGCTTCAACTGCTTCATATGTCTCAATTGATTTCAAAACAGAGGTATCCGAATTTGACAAAGAACCTGTGGTCACAATTTTATCAACTGAATCCTTTCCAGTCACGACTTTCTCAACTGACTCCTTTCCAGGATCAATGTCAGCTTCTACTGGTGGCAAAGGGGTCCCGTCCAGTTTGTGCTTACTTTTACCACTCCGATTATTTTTCCTTCTATGAGGCACGGATGGCTCAGCCACAGTATCTGCCGCATTGAGCACATTTGCCTCGCTCGATTTAATTTCACTCGAGGTATACTCGTGGGGTTTAATATCATTAGTAGCCACATAAGTATTATCTCCTAACGCCTTGGAGTTGGCTGCAACATCAGAGACAGGTCTTTCAGTGAAGCTCTTCTGCAATGAACTGTTCTGCTTTTGCTTATAGCTCGTTCGCTTGTGCCTAGAAGTGACTCCATCATTAAATTGAGGTGCTGTTTTCTTAGCACTGACATCACGAGCATCTTCATGCACTGACAAAGAAGTCACAATTGTCTCCACGGGCAAAGTCGTGGACGTCTCAATCATGGATTCTTCAGCCTGATTCGAACTGTTAATACTGGCCATCACTGGTTCACTAACTACACGGGATTCATCTTGCTCCTCCAGGTTGTCATTAATGACCTGACCTTTATCAAGCTTTTCAGTTCCAGTTTCGACAGTTAGTGTTCGCCGATTTAATTCCTCCAACTTAGCAAGAGCCTTGGCTCTCTGCTCTTTAATTCTTTCTTCCTCTTCCTTCTGCAGTTGCAGGACACGTTGCTTTGCTATCTCTCTCATCTTGGCTCGCTGATTCGGTACATACCAAAAGGAAAACAAATATATAAATTTTACAGTAAGTAGAAAATAAATTTCGGCAATGGGGAACATAAATACAATGTGGATATGAACCTGTGCTTGAATATCACTGGAATCAAGCGTGTCAACCAAAGCTTCTTCTTCAATTTTCCCTACAGGTTTGCTCACAGTATCCTCAGAAGCCTCTTTGACATTAGTACCATGTGCCTTGGATTCATCATGTGATGCTGTAATCACGTGGGATAATTCAGTGGTAAGAGGCTTTTTCCGCCATCCATCAGAATCCACATTGCCGAACTTACCTTTGCCACGATGATCAATTCTACCCTGCCCACCATGATGTGGTCTCCTGTAACATACACCAGAAATCAAGCAATGACCAATATACACAATTCAGGAAAAAAGAAAAAGAAATAATATTAATAATAATACTAATTAATAATTAATAATAGTAATAATAATAATAATATTCCAGGTGTCAGACCTAGACATGACTGTTACTTGCTGTAATGGCTTATCACTAGCAGAATTAATCATTTCATGGGGACCAGAAGTAAAATCTCTGGGAGTGCTTTCAAATGATCCAGCATGGGTACCTTCCCCCACATTGCTATTAACCTTTGCATCAATTACTTGGGACCTATTCCTTTCCTCTTCTCGGTTATGAGCACGTGGAGAAATATTTCGTCCATCAGAAACACGGATTTTCGCATTTAAGCCATCAATCTTATGCATTAGAGATGGATTTTTCAATCCAGTCCGAAGTGATGAATCCTTCTCGCTACCAAGGATTACCCGAGGCATTTCTTCCTGAAGAGATGGCGCACTTTCAGATGCATTTGTTGATTTATCATAAACTGCTTGTGGATTGCTCGTTCCTTCAAAGGACTTCACTTTCACCCCATCCGATGAGTGCACCTTATAGTCAGAACTGCGGGATGTCATCTGGCTCGGCATCCTCCTCTTTGCATGTACAGATTCTTCCGTGTCCTCTTCAGCACCCCACTCATTCTTCCGTGATGACATCATATGTGGGCGATGTCTGTCGGGATATGAGACATCAGGTTGTGGATTGTGCTCCCAAGTTTTTCTTTCATCCCTAGGGTGATCACGTTGATTAATATGGCTCTTCAAATGAATTCGTTTTGGCCCTTGAGTGTCCTCTGCCAGATCAGCACCAACATGTTCAGATGAGGTTTTGCCAGGATGTTGACCGTGTCCATTTCTGCCATGAGAATTGCCAATACCAGGGGCAGTGCCAGGATAACTACTATTATAAACTGGTGGGCCTGCTGCCATGCCCATATAAGGAATATCTGGCTCACAGCCCATTCGTGGTCCGTAATAACCTTCAAAAGCCATAGGAGCTGGTGGGCCAGGGGGCCCACGGGGTCCTGGTGGGCCAGGATAAAAACCAGGTCTAAACGGTATACCTGGATGTGCATAAGCATCAGGCATCTGAGGCCTGTATAGATCTCCATTTTTAGGATGGGGTCCCCTAGGACCAGGGGTGGGGCCAGGCTGTGAACCTGCTAAAGGCGGAGGAGCAATCTGCGGACGATAATAAGGATATGGTTCCATCGGAAAGCCTCCGGGTCGAACAGGAGGGGGGCCATATGGTGGGCCAAGAGGTCGTCCCCTGCCATACCAAACGCCAGCTTGGCCGTTCATTGGAGCAGGGCCACGCCATGTATCAAAATGCTGAGGGGCAGTATTGGGATTAAAATATTGTGGAGGGTTATCCCCATTCCATTTCTCCATGCAGGGATGAATATCATCATCTACACCTTGGAAACCATCTGCCCTCCATGTATCCACGGCGCCATGCTTTGAATCTGCTTTCAAAGAAGAAATTATCATTTATCACACACTGCTAAAGAACTGAATTAGGTTTGAAAAATTGTAAGACATATTGAGTACAGACCAGTCTGGGACCTCGAATCAGCTTTTCCATGAGCTATCCTACCAGAAGCTGACCTAGGACGCCCAAGTTCTGCCAATGGAAATTAGCAAAAGTCATTAATATGTATGATAATATATTCATCAAAACCTTCCCAAATAAAGGTCGCAAGCATCGACAAAGGGCAACCAAGAAAAAGCAAAGAGACAAAATCAAGATCATTAGTGTTTAATGTATGTCCTCTGGTTTTCTTGACATCTGGAGATAAATAGATCTAGGCTGCAGATAGAGGAATGCTCATCAGAAAGAAGCAGGACCTTACACACGTGTTTTTAGGACATTAGAGAACAAAATTAAATAAATTACCCTAGGATCACCCACTTAAATCACAAGAAATGACTTAACTAAAATAGTTTCCACCAAAATGTGACATTACCAATGCACAAAAAGAAAAATGGTAACGATGGCTATAATTGAAATTCATCAGAGGATGAAAAGGTCATAGCAACTTTAGGTCAATAATACCCACCTTCTAATTCAGCATTCTTCAAGGAATTATTCTTTTCAGAACCAAGAGTTGGAAAATCTCCAGAACTCAGCGTAAAATCTTCATCCTTGGAGGATCTTACACCCTGCAAATTCACCGACATTTAGCCCACATATAAAACATGCAATACAATTGCATAAAGTGAACTGAATATTCACAATCTCTCTCAGCTTTTGAAGGTACACAATAGTCTACGAAAATGAATGAACTCTATATATGAAACATCCATTAAGGATAAAACTAGGAACAGAAACTTGACGGGCCAATGCTGTGACCTGTCCGCCGAGAAGTTCGAACCTGGACCTGACTCCAAATTGCACTACCATGCTTGTTAATCACAAAAATGGTTTTAGTACCATACTAAGCAGATGTAATATAAAGATGAGAGCTTGGGCCCACCAATCTTTCTGCAGTACCGCTTGGTCCCCATGCTGCTGAATTTTTTGACACAGGGTCTGCAAACCTTGATAGCTGCGAACTATTTGGTCTGTTTTCTGCACTTTTAGGACGCAATGAAGTCGATGATGTCTGATTCAAGGAAAATGTTCCAGAGGCTGACGAAGGTCTAGAACTTGAACCCCAAGCACTGGAAGCAGGTTCATGTGATCTCTCACTACCAGCTGTTGATGGTCGAGTGCCACTTCCACCTGATGAAGGGCGACCACTAAGATGACTTGGGGAAACAGTACCACCTTCAGCATTTGGTGATACTGACGATGAGATCCATGGATTTGAACCCGATGAAGATGGGCGGCTTCCCCAGCTAAGAGTACCCCTGATCAGAAACAAAGACCCAGCTACTTAAAAAGAATACATGGACTGAATAAGACTGCAGATAAACGATACTAATGAAAATGAGCTTGATTAAAGAAAATGCATTAGTATTAACTTTAAACAAGTACTAGATAATATTGGTACTGAACACACAACAAAGCAGAAATCACCACTCACTTGGGAACAATTTCAACATTGGGATCCAAGCCATGATTCTCCAACCTTCAAACAAAATAAAAAACCCGTCACTCTATCTCAATTGAAGGCCACCAAAGAATAATAAATGACAGACGGATAGAAATGGAAAGATGATGTCAGAATATGAGTACTTTTGGCTTGGCAAGTTCAGGGGTTTTGGAACAGCAACTTTCCCTAAAACAGTCATGCCACCCCTTCTCGCAGAAGCCCATCTAAGGAAAAATGAGTCAAAGTAACACAATCAGTAACTGAATGCATTAGAAGTAAAAAGATACATTGAAGACAGATGGAATAAACCACACAAATGAAAGGAAAAACAATAAATATGCAAATGAAAAGTGCCATAATTAACAACCCTGCACTTATTCCTGAACATAATTATGAAAAGTTTTCTATCATGAAGCTTTTGGCAAAAGTTTCTCATCCTGTCTAGATGTAGGAAAACAATCCCATATAACAAGATGAAGCTACCAATATCACACTTCTTGGCAATAAAAATAAAAAACTAGACTCTAGATATAACTTTACGATAAAATTCTATAACAGCATAATCCACTTGAAACTCCTCAGGGACATCATATTATTCAGGATGCTTAACATTCAACGTATCAATAAATGTTGGCTTTTCAAAAAGAAATGAAATAGTGATAGCAGTTTTTAATAAGATTCATTTAAATACCTTCGCTCCCCAGCCAACATACTGGAATTCATTGTCCACCAGAAGTGCCAATATCATCCAAGCAACTTAACACGGCCTATGAGGCAAGCCAAGACAAAGTTATATCAGGACAAAGAATGTGTAAGAAAATGGACATCTCCAGAAGCCTAACTCCATTATAAACAATATAATAATGCTTCAGGCTAAGGTAAAGTGAACACACACATGCACACACAAAAGCAACTAGCTAAAAAAAAGAAAGAAAGATTGGCCATAGTAGCCTCTCTCAATCACAAAGGGGTCTGAACTGTTACACTAGATATGCCTAAATCAGACATGAGATAACATTATTCCCTATGACCTCACATGCTACTAACTCCTATGGTTATAACAAAAACAATAATCGACTAAGTCATAAAATGTTTGTATTTGAACTAGAACATCATGTAGTCAAGCCGTTGCTGATGAATCATGTCAGCTATGTTGATGTTCAAAAATAACAATTCTTTTAACTTATCTTGAAATATATGAAGCCTTAAAGTAAGAAGAATTTACCATCAATAACAAGAGTCAATTGGAATGCAAGTAGAGTAATGATTAACAAAGGGCTATAACAAGTCACCACAACATAAAAAAATTAAAAACAAACTAAAGCAGCCTATTTAAACTACAAATGGAATCCTAGTGTACTATAAAGAAAACTTCCGGGCTTAGTTTATAAATATTGCGGGTAAACATAAATCCTGTCCTGCACTGATTTATGGAGGTGTACATTTGAAAAAAATAACTCCTTTTTCTTTACCTTCATTTGTTTATGGTACAGCAAGAAAAATAGGAACCAAACTACATCTACTAGAAGAACTTGAAATCAGATATGCCATATGATTCTACATGTAACTCTTAGCAAGAACTATCCTCATTTATGATGACATGGAAGTAGTTAGCATACAATCCTCTCTCCCCCACAATCTTTTTTGTATCTTCTCTTTCATATTAGTATTCCAATAAGAATAGAGACTGAAAGGTTCATAAGGTAAGTCATCAAAGTTACACTCGTTAGTAGGTAAACAAAACCACTTCAATTGACAAATACCAACCGTGCAACACATCTTAACACATTCCAAGTATATGGAACACATCTAATGGCCACCTTTACTCTTCAAAGAGAGTGTTCAACTCCAAGTATGGTGAAGATATTGACTATAGGACATATTACACTTTGCGGGCTCTAAAGGAAATATTCCACTTCATTAAACGAGGTGCGATCATGTTTCTGCCATAAAACTTGGGTAAGCAAAAAATTCAGGTCTCAACTCCTTCCTAGCTACCTCAGAGTGATCTTATAAAAATTATAAGATGAAATACTATCTAAACTCCGTAAAAAACGCCTTTTATTTTTCAATTCGCTGTGAATCAACGGCGACACGAATGGGAGACACATGAATAAAGAAATGTCAACATGTGATCCAAATTCAGCGGACCAATCAAAACCTTGAACGGCTAATACCGAAACCCTAAATCCGGCAAAGGCTCAATCGCCCAATCGTAATCAGATCTTCAAACTTTACTATGACAGAAAATCCTCAATCACGCTGGGAAAGGAACACAGAGGTATAGAAAGAGAGAGCGAACCAGAGCGAGTGAGCAACCGGAAGACGGATCTGCGGGAAGTTTCAATCTGCAAAAGCCACGAATGTGAAAATAATGCAAATATACCGTTGAGCTGTATCGATTATATGTACAGATTGAGGAGAACGATGAGGACGAGCAGTTGATGACGTCGAATGTTGATCGGAAAAGGAATGGTGACGTTCGTGGCGAGAGGGAATCGGAGGAGGAGAGAGAGAGATAGCATAAAAGAATATAAATACGCAGTGGAAATATTACTGTTCTTTATAATTATAAACCGAGGTCGTGTTGGCAAATTTTTCTTTAAAAAAAAAATATTTAAGTTAATTAACGAATTCCTGATAATTCCAATTTGAAAAGGCCTAGGGCTAGTAACTTTACAAAGAGAATTTCAAAATTAATTTTCACGGAATCACTTTCTTTTACAGTCACTTTGTAAAACCAACTGTTTTTCCAGTATAGTGGTGGAATGTTATACTTTAAATAACTATAAACAAAAATATAATATTACGTATGCATACTATTAAAAATAACAATATAAATAAAATATAACATTCACAATATAAACCTACATAATAATTAGAATGAGAATATAAATAGAAATATTTATTTCACAATATAAATATGTATTTTCCTTCACACAATATTACAAATAACACAAATTCTTAGAAGTTGTCTAGCTTTTGATCAATTCGTCATATTTTGTTAACAACAATGCAAAGTTTAAAGTACAAAATAACCAACTTTAGCTATGTTGTTTATTTAAAATATTAACATTCTAATATGATAGTATGCGTGTAAAATTGTTTAACTGTTAATTCTATATACCAATAGTTATTTAACTATGATAGTATGCATGTAAAATTGTTTTAACTGTTAGTTCTACATAACAATAGTTATTTGACTATAGTACAACACATGAAACTCCACATTAAAATGTGGCACATGTAATATCCAAAATCCAAATATGATTAAAAAAACTTCTTTGTACGTGAAGCAATTCTCACAAATCAATCCAATTGAGGCTTGAAAACAAAAGAAACAGAACACATTAGGATTAAAGGTACAAATAAATCACAATATAGGAAAAATTTTACATCAAGTCACTATTCCTATATAGATATCAAGTAATTTATTTTCAAATCAGCTTCCGAAAACCACCAAAAACATACTCAAGAGATACACCAGAAAACTCATCAAAAAAATTAACTGGAATTCATGTCACTTTTAAATCAATCAAGTACTTCAATCTCGTTAAAATTAACTGGAATTCATGACATTTATAAGCCATTTCACCCTTCTTCTATGAGTTCCTTCATAATTGCAGGGTGGCAAGCATCTTAAAACTCGTTAAACTTTATCGATATTTGATCCATCTCGGGCTGATGTCTCCTTACCTTGTATACAAGATATGTTAGTGTGACAATATGAAAATTTTGAAGGCTCTATAAGTTTAACAAATGAACACTACATAAAATTTTCCTTTTTCTCGTGTTTTTCGAAATATTTTGGTTTCTTCTCGTGGAACCGAGAATGATACGTCTAACTTTGGATGGAAAAAAACTGTAAGATTTGCTGAAATTCAGTTGTTCAAATGCAAAACTGATGATGATTTAGTTAGCAAATGTGGTTACTGCAATCTTTAATATCAAAATGATAAAAAAGAGCCTTTCTAAATTGTAAGAAACTAATTTTTTTTTTTTTTTTAAATTGTAAGAAACTATATGAGCTTACTTTTACACCTGCCATGGATAGAAGTTTATGAGAAGCAACATAAGCAGCATCCGTATTATCTAATCTCTTCTCCACATAGTAGATAACCTCCGAAACGCCCGACTGAAATGTAAAATAGTCCGTATTACCAAGAAAAAATGAACTATATCCAAATCAGGAAGTTAAATGAATACAAGTTTGGCCAAAACGGGTGGAAATGGAAGTCCGAAATTGTACACGTTTCAGATGTCAATTTTGATTTCAATTGTGAGAAAACTGTTGACAAGCAGAAGGCACTCATTTCTTCACAGGTTTATCAAAGTTGAGTTGTTGATTGAGATAAATTCTTAGTTTACCTGAATAATTATCTTCGCACATTCGTTGCAAGGAAACATTGTGACATAAAGCTTCTGCAGGGATAATTTACATGACAAACTATGATGAATGGAAGATCTTAATTCAGCAATAAACAATAAAATCACAAACCAAAATAAATAGAATAAATAATAGAACTAACTTGCCCTGCAGCAGACGCGTGATTCGTGTTCAAAATAGCATTGACTTCCGCATGGCATACATAACTACAAGAAAACAAAAAAATGTGCTTACAAATTGGGTACCAATTGAGGGAAATGCATAGGCTAGGAAAATTAAGCATTTGATTTGAAAAAAAAAAAAAAAAAAGTGAAAGATGGTTAGAAGAACAACAAAAATTCATGAAACGTAATGATCAAAAAATCTAATCTTCCATAACAATAATTCAGTACTTACGGGTACTTTGTTTCCAGAGGATTTCCATTCTTGGATTTCTGATAATCAAAACAGAAGTAAGAAATACTTAACTTTGCAATCTGAATCACTTCTTCCCATACGATATAGAGAGCTTCTAACCTTAGACCAGGGAAGTTTGTCATCAGAGCAACCACGTGGAAATCCATTGTAGCCGATGCCTTACCGAACAAAAGGTGAAACTAGCTTGAGATTATTTACGATAGAACGAGATATTGCTTGAGCAAGCACTTTATAGTCCGATTAAAGTGTTATCTGAAGTTTATTTATCAAGCAGTCTTACCGAGTATTATTCCATTTTCACTCACCAGGCAAGCACCAACCTGTGGTAAAGCAATTACAAGTAGATAAAGATGTGCATTAATTGGAAATAACACTATTAGAAAATCTAAGTTATTAAACAAAAACAAAAGATCATCCCAAGTATCATTCGAGTTTTTAATGCCCTAAAGGCAATGTGACTAAACCTGTCGATTTGGATCCTTTGACCTCTCAGCTGATAGAAATGCAATTGCCATAAAATAATCGTCCCAAGATAGGTACCTGCAACCCCAATTAACTAACTAATGAGCACAAAATTAACTAACCAATTTAACGCCTTACTTATTCTACGTCAGACCTCAATATATGTAACAAGAAACAGAATCAGTAAACTTCCCTGCTCGAATATTCTTATTTCATCCAAACCAATTCAGTTTTAAAATTTGGGTCATCCCAAATTACACACATTTGTGCTTGGTAAAGATTCCACATTTAGATATAATAGGCTCCAAATTCATATTTAAATAACACGAAAAAACATGTAGCTGCTCACCAAAATCACTTTAATTCTAACCCCAGGGAAAAAAAATATGAAGCAAGAATGAGAATTTTTCCCAACCTCAATATTTTCTTCGACAACCCGGTTTACCCTTTTGTTCCTTCAACATTTCAGTCCAATTTAGGAAGAAACACGAGAAATTGATCATATTGAAACTCACCCTTTCCTTTTTGAAGGATCAAAGGGGCTCTGGCGCGACGATTTCTGCTGCGCGGCGCCGTTTTGCGGGCGGCGGGGTTTGGGGCATCTGAAGCTGAAGAACAAGCTGACTGCCACGGCGGAGGCCACCGCACCAAACGCCGTGGCAGCGGTAAACTGAACTACCTCTCTCGAAATCATAACTGTTCCTACAGGTTCACCGAAACCACCACACAACGGATTGAGAGAGAAAAATTAGCCGGCGAAAAATGGGTAGGAAAAGTTGCAGCAGGAGAAAAAGGAGCGGGAAAAGATGAGCAGCTTCCAGATATTGGGCTGTTGTGGGCTTTTTTGTCCCGGCCCAATCTAGTTTACGTTTTTGGAATTTGGATCCAAATTGCTTATAGGGTGATTGTGAAGTGAAATGTGTACAGGGACGAGTTTTGGGCTCAATATTGTTCAAAGGCTGTCTGTCGCCAGAATTTGAAACATACGTCATCTTGTATTTGAGTTTGAAATCACTATTATAATGTGTTTTTGAAAGTGGAGTGTCATTCTGATCACGCCGAGCTCCGTGAACTAAGTGGTTCTGGACCTAAATTCCATCGTTTGCTAGCCGTATTAGCCCTTGTATTATTTTCGGTATTTTCTATTTATTTTTTTATTTGTTTCATGTTATGTTTAGGATTTAATGGCTTTATATACACCTCAAACACATTATTTTGATGATAATTTAGATTTATATTTTTTTCATTAATACATCTTTCTTTCATTATAAGTACATTTGCCTATTATGTTTTATCTTTTTGTGTTAAGTGTAACAATAAACCAAGAAATCCGACTACATCTAATTGTACTAATACAAAAAATCACTTCTTTTAAAAATCACATTCCACAATCATAAACTCCAAAGATTGAATTTTTAAATAATAGGATAGGAAATTCATTATCACTCTACTTTGAGCAAAAAGTTTGATTTTATTACAACCTCAACTTTTATTTTCATGATAGTAAAATTCTGCAGAAGCTAGTAATTTGGTTATGAACAATTGAAAAAAAGCTACCATTGCAACACCTCTCATTCATCACGGGTTGCATGTATGAAAGGGAACAAAAGAACATATCGATATGAGCATCCGAACAGTTATATCGTGTGATCTCTCGGCGGGTCGAATCTTCGATTAATAAAATCCATATGATTATGAACCTCATGTGGGTATCAATAAATTTACCTGGTGGAGCCTTCAAATATTCAGAATATCATGTCCTTGTTATCTAAGTTGGGAATATGTCAGATGAACCTTTTTTTCCCTTTCAGAGAGAAGTCTTCTTTTACAAGAGTTATTAAACTAAGGGCCAAAAATATGTACAAAAGTCAGAGTAGAAAAATCCTACGTACCAATGGCCATGTGGGGCTTCACTAATCCACTGTCACTTTACAATGAGCTCAACGGTTATGTACTGTTGGGCTTTCTGCATGTGATTCTCTTTTCATGTGACTGCAAATCCACAAATGTGGAAATGGAATTTTACATTTATCAATTTTGTACTTTTTCAGGAGGATTGTTACTTGTTAGTTTACTTGAATGAGTTCAAGATTGTTTCTCTTGTACTGATTAATTTTCCACCCAACATATATTATAATTTGTAAATTAGGAATACTATATAGAAAAGTAACTAACAAAATTTTAATTGGGTGATTCAAACATATGTGAAACTTGGATTGTTATAATATCTATTTTTAATCTCTGTTTTTAACATATATTGGGTGATTTAGTCATAATATCTGTTTTTAAAATATAAAAGTAAAACAATAAAAATGAAAATATGCTCTTATTTATTAGATTGTTATATTAATATAGCTTAATAGTAATAAGTAATTAGTACTCCCTCCATTTTGAAATATAAGGCGTATAAAGATTTCTCAATTTTTTTGAAATATAAGGCGCGCTAAAAAATCAAAACAAATTTTTGCATTTTTTTCTAAATATACCCTCATTGTGTTGAAATTAAGGAAGTGTGGAGTGGTTGTGATTAGAGTAAATAAGGTTAATTTAGTCAATTTATTCATTAATTAATGTCTCCTTAATATTTGTACAATAACCTTAATTAATGCCTTATACTTCAAAATGGAGGGAGTACTTACTTATTACTATTAAATTGAAATTAATGAAACAGAGCGTGGAGTGAATTTACAATATTAGCTAAATATAATTCAAATTAATTTAATAAATAAGCTTGTTAAATTTTATATAATTTTATTTTATATTTATCTCTTAAACATGAGTATTATGATACATCGAAAATGCTCCAGTACCCACGGTGGGCATATGTTAATATGCGCACCTCTTATTTGGCATGCACACATTAGTCATGTTAATATATTAAAAAAAAATTCATTACCAATGTGTGCGTACCACATAAGCGGTAGACATATTAACATGTGCCCACCGTGAGTACTGGAGCATTTCAATATGATACATTCACATCATAGAATAATTTTATTTGAAGGGTGAATGGGTGAATTGATATAAAATTTTTAATACTGAATAAAGTCCTAGGAAGTTTGTTCCATCCGAAATTCCAAATACAAAAATCCCTCTACATGCAAAAGAAGTAAAAGGAGCAATTGATCATCCTAAACCCTACTTAAGCTAGACCACAATTTGTCAACCAAAACTTGAGTGAGCTCCATTATATTAACCCAAAATAGGTGTTGGTATTTGACTTTGTTGGCTAAATGAAACATTATTTTACCACTTTGAGTGAACAAAATCATGTCCAAGATGCATATATCGTATCCATAAATTTTTGCTTCTTAAATTCTTTAACTAGTAGAGTTTACACACTAACTCTAGTGTCATGCTTATCTTATAATGGCCCATGAATGCTAGCTAATTTGAGATGTTCAATCAATTTTATTTGGCATATGAAATGCTGCATAATAAGACACAATGTTGCTTGTCAATTGTATATATATTCTTGAAAGGACAAAAGTGTCAATTTTTGCATGATTGTCACATTTGTAGTTTGCTATGTTGTATGCATCTCTTATCACATGGTGGGGGGGCCTTTTTGGAGTTAGCATTAGCATCAAATGAGGGAAGCTTCTGCCTTTCTCATCCTTTCTCATTAATGGTACAAAAGGGATTGGGGCTTAGAGTGGTGACAAAAGTGTACCATAAAATTTATTTACACGATCTCTAGACCTACCTTAATAGCATGAAAGTTGTATGTTTTCTTTCCCTTAGTAAGAAGGTGCTAATAAAGGTGACCTATGGTGTCCAATTAATAGTAGACAAGATAGAACCCCCAACAATCGAAATTTTTATTGAAATGGTAATTTAATCGTCACTTTTTAAAATTTGCAGTAAGTATCATATTTTGTAAAATGAATTTTGATCTTTATATTTCGATGGTTGGAGCTTGATGTGACCAACAATCATGATATAATAAGTCACATGCCCCATCAAAACATCATTGACCAACAATCCTTGGGTTGCATTCATGTATCTCACATTCATGAATACATTAGCCTACTCCAAACCAATGCACATCCTCATATTTTATGCCCATCACATGGGAAAAACATATGAACTCCTTTAGGCCAATTACAATTACTCCACATATCTATTAGGCCAACAATTACTCCATGCATTTGTCAAATGATGTGGACTTCATGTTATGCCCACATTAATCAACAACTTGGAAGTTACACAAAATAACCATATTTGTTGAATAATGCTCCTAGATTTTTATTTATTTATTTTTTTTACAATGCTTCTTTACCCTACACTTCAAAACTAATTAAAAAATTAAAAATTAAAAAAAAAAAATCAAAAGTTCATTGTTTCCCTTGATTGTAACTTGTGGAGGAAGAGGAGTAAGCCAAGGAGCAACTAGATGATCCTTGAAGAAGCAACAATTGGGTCGGCATGACCGATGACGAAGAATAAGATGAGGCCTCCGAGCCCTTGGATAGCTTATGACCTTGATCGGCTCCCGAGGCATGCTCGTGCTTGATTTCCTTTAGTAGGGCCACCACGTCTTTCATGGTGGGCCGATCGTCTGGTCGGTTGCTCGTGCAAAGTAGGGCTATCCCGAGCCCTTGGAGCATCTCTTGTATTTGGGTGTCCGGGTGACCTTGAAGCTTCCGGTCAATGATGTCAATCGGGTCCCGCTTGCTCTTGAGGTGGTCCCGGGCCCACTGGATGACGTGGTGGCCTTCGGGGAAGGATGGGTCCACCGGCTTCTTCCCGGTTATGATTTCGAGCAGCACGACTCCGTAGCTGTAGACATCGCTCTTCACCGTGATTTTTAGCATGGATGAATACTCTACACGTGCTCCAAAAAAAATAAAAAATTATTAATTAAATTTAGACTTTTTTTGGGGGAAGAACAAATGAGCAACAAGTTGCAATGTATAGAAGATATGTATCACATGACATCACATGCATTTACTCTCCCCACTGCAAACATAAAATGTAAATCCAAATACAAATCCAATTATCCAAATACAAATAACATCAATTGATGTCTCAAAGTACTACTGTACACCACTCTTATGTCTATTTCTGCTTTATCTTAAAGGGATAATTACATAATCCAACACAAGGTTTGATCTTTATAATTACAAGAGAACCCTTGAGGACAATTGTAATGTAACATTCTATAAATATATAAATTATTCTTGATGTGTTTCTTGCTTATGAAACAGATCAGTATCAGACAAAAGCTAAATTAGAAGTACTTGTAGAATTTTAGGAACATATACTCCTACCCACATATTTTGATTAGCCTAAAAATATTTACTTTTGGAGCAATTGTGTCCACAGTTTAAAATGCTCTTGCATATCATGAATGAAACTCAAGGAACATAAACAGTTTCAATGAATTTTTTAACTTTTACTCGCAAACAAACACCCAAATGAACAAAACAAGACTAACAACTGGTCTAAAAGCACAGTATACAGAGCAAAAAAACAGAAATATTTACCTGGAGCAAAATATCCATAAGACCCAGCAAACTGTGGGGAACCCGAAAACGAGCCCGGCCCGTTTTCATCCTCGACGAACCTCGCCAGCCCGAAATCCGCCAAGCACGCTTCGTAACGGTCCCCCAACAATATATTATCCGTTTTCACGTCACGGTGCAAGATAGCCGGCACACAGTCATGGTGCAGGTAGGCCAACCCTTCTGCCACGCCCAACGCTATCTTGAGCCGAATCCCCCACTCGACGGGCTCTCCGAGCCCGTCGTGCAATAACGAACCCAAAGTCCCGTTCGC